GCGACCCGGCCTTCGGCGGTCCTCTGGCACGAGCTCCAGCGCCTGTGGCCAGGATCGGGCCCTGGCAGCAGCGCCTGACCTCGGTCCCGGAGGAGAGCCGGCGTGGGGAGGAGCAGACCCGGAGGTACGCGCTCGCTCGCAGGGCTCGGGTGAGGCTCGGCGGACGTCTGGATACACGTGGCTGGTTTCTCTGCTTCAACCCGAGCCCGGCCAAGCAAACAGCTGCCTGAAAGTACGGCGCCGGCAGCGCTCGTGTCAAAATCCCCACGGCCTCTGTGCTGAGCGAGTGGGGTCTTGCTACGTACAGAGTTTGCTAACGTTGGTCTCTTCAACGTCAGCAGAAATTACGGTCCGCTCCAATCTCTTCTGCACGGCACGAGACATTTTAATACCTTTTTTCCACCTGAGTTATGTTTTAGGACTAAAACAACACAATTTGCCAAGTACCTAGGAACGGTGGAGTCTCGTTCTTCCTTCAAAGTAGCGTCTTTGCTACCCAAAGTAATTGCTGTAGCCTCCCAAAAGGAGCTACTCAGCAATACGCTATGGCCAACTAGAGGCTGTGCTCCAAGGCTCACAGAGATAAATGGGACCTTAGCGGGTTTTGGATCAGGCTTTCAGGAAGCGGACGCTTTAAAAGGGCTATTGTTGTGTGCTGCTGCTCCCTGGGCAGCGATCATACCCTGGAACAAAAAGATATCCTGTTATGAGGGGCCTAAGTGGCATAATGGGCAATAAAAAAGTGAATAACAGCATGGCCATTAGAGTCCCTCAGCTTTGTAATTTCCAAGAAAAATAGTATTTCAGAATAACTCCTTTGATGGGTGGATTTTTCTTATGAAAGCTATTTAAATGACATTTTTAAATAACGTCCTATTAGCCCTGGCATAATAACTTCAAAGGAAGTTAAATAACAAAGAGGCTGCCGCCACTGCAGTGTTTGCAGGATGTGTGTGTGGGGGGGGGGCCTTAAGGAAAATCGCGAAGCTCCGCCTAGTAGGACTCCAATAGGCAATAACAGACAAATAAAAACAGGGAAATCTTAAAACCGAGCCCAGCTCTGCTGCTCTAATAGTCGCTCTGGAGCCGCTGTGATGGGGTCGTCACCCTGGTTTGCAGGCAGGGTCGGGGCTGAGGTGTGCGATGCCCGGGCGTTTGCAAACCCGGCTGGCTACTGCAGCTTAAGACTTAATAACTTACTGTGTCTTTGCGCTTTGGCAAGAGAAAAAGCCCTTGTTTCTTTGGAGCGAGGGACGTAGCAGAGCCTCCCGAAGCGGAGAGGACAAACGTGACGGTGCACATAAATCCTAAAAGCTGTTGTTGAGGAGGAGGCGTCTCCGGGAGCGTTTGGCAAGCTGCAGCGTGCATATTTGGGCATGCTACGAGGCGACCGCTTCGCCATACCCCAGGGGACGGCGCGCCGGACACTAACCCTCTCCAAAATCAGCAAGGGGTTTGGAGCCACCTGACTGCGTGACTGCACTGGGAAAGCATGATAGTATTAAATAAAAACCTGTGCCAAAATTTGGGTGATCTTCTCTGGGTCTGTTTTCTCATATGTTGCCTAGAGTTGCCATCTCGCGCAGGCGGTGGCCCGGCCACCCTTCCCGTGCCAGGGCAGGACGACGGGTAGCCTCCCTGGCAGAGGTTTGTCCAGCCCGCTCCGAAAAGGCACCCGGGGACGCGCTTACCGCAGCATCCCTGCGTGGTTTCTCACCGTGGTTATGTTACGCGATCTGGTTTTCTCTCTTCTAATACGAAAAGCAGCGGTATGCAAGTGCAAAATGACTTTCATGAGAAATTGCTATAATTTGACTGTAATCGTAAGCAGTCTGCTTACTTGAGAAATTAAATTCTCTGGTGTGAGCATGTGTCCTGTAAGAAGAGCTGTAGGCTACGTCTGCTAGGGCTGAGTTAGAACGCAACCGTAGCTGTCGTATCCCGTTACAAAGTCTTTACCGTTTCTTTTTGTATTTCAATCTGACGCTCGTTAACGTACTATGAAATGATCTGCAGATGTGGTTGTATTTGAACGTCAGTTGTACCTTTTTGGGACAAGTAGTAGGCAAACTAAGTACTTCTAGTGGGTTGCAGTTACTGCAGAAGCTACCAAGGGAATAAAAGCTCCTATGCGTTATATAGAGCTGATTTATTTACCGGCAGATATCAGTGTATCACCCGTAAGAGCAATGCCATTAATAAGTGCTACATGGTGACTCAGACTGTGATACAGAATTAAAATGTCATACAAAACTATATATACACACATACGTATATATGGGAGAACTCCTTGCATGAAGCACAGGAAAAAAAAAAATATCGGGCTGTATTTTCCTACTCCAACACCTCCCTGCAAAGGGAACGAAGCATTGCTTTGGATTATGTCGATCTTTTTGGTATTACTTGTACGTAACAGAGATAGCACCCTTTCTGCTGGAGTTGCAGTGGTGACTTGCTCCGCGGGGCTCGCAAGTTAGATCCGAGGAGCGCAGGTTTGTGGCTAGGGGCGGGCACCGTTCGGTGAGACCTGGAGCCGGACCGGTCGTCCTGGCGTTCTTCGAGGAAAGAAGTGAATCAGAAGGTAGCGCTGCCCTGTCTACTGTAAAAGCCATGTGTTTTTCGTTGTTGCTCCGGACTGCTTTTCATTTCGGTGTTTTGATGTCTAAATGAAGAGCGTTTCTAAAAGCGGGAGTATAAATCTAAACGAGATCTGCTGTTCTTGGTCTAAAAGAGTTGCTAGCTATTCTGAGAATAACTCTAATAAAGGAAACTTCCTGTGAACAGAAAAGTCTGTATGATTCAGCCCCAAAGAAGAGAAAGCACAGAACTTAAGAAAAAAAAAATCATGCTTACCAGCTGTTTTGAGTCCTAGTTGGCTTGCTGCAGTCTCTTTGGAAATGAAGTCGTGCTACCGCATCACTATCCCTAAGGGCACGGGGAACTGTCAGCGAAGATGCTGTATTTTCCATTTGCTATTGCGCATGCTGATTTAAAAGTTGGGATTCCCCATTAATTTTTCCTGGCCAGCCCTTAGTTTAGGGCCACTTATGTAAAATCCAGGCAGGAGGTGCTAGCTTGAAAGACGTTACTTAAAGGGGGAAAATATTGGTTTGGAAATTTCAGGGGAACTGAAAGAGAAATGAGTCATTAGAAGAGTCTGTGTTTGAAAGCTGAGTCGTGAAGCGCTTGACTTTTACGATCCCCTGTGGACGAGCCGCAGCTCGGGGTAAACTGGGAAATCTTATTAGCAGCTGATGGAGAAAGTGCGTCTGAGGGCTTGCGCTAACGCATCTTTGAAAGTGGTTTTTTTTTTTTTTGATGCTTCGGCAAATGGACTATTGTGCGAGAAGTTTTTGCTGCCCTCTGAACAGCGAGCGCCGTCGCGGCGCGGAGGAAGGCGCAGCGGCTGCCGGCCCCGCCACCAAAGAAGGGAATTGCCTGCCCAAAGGGGCAGCGCGGCTGGGGAAGAGAATTTCACTTTAAACAAACCAAACCAAACAACTTAGTCCTCCCAAGCGCCTGGCACATGCGAGTGCTATTGTAAACCCGCAGAGTAATTTTAGCCCCGTGGACGGTTTTCAGCCTAGCACAGATTCCAGCTTTAGGCCAACACAAAGAAAGTTTTGGGGTTTTTTTTGTTTTTTTTTTTGTTTACTTTGTGCAGGAGAGGAGGTGGGGGCTCTTCTGCCCCAGAGCGAGTTCCTGCCTGACCCTAGCTCCCTGCTCAGCACCAGCAGGGCAGGTGGAGTCCTCAGCAACACGAAAGATTCAGCCAAGTGAACGGTACCAGGACGGTATCCCAAACTGCTGAGTTGTCGTAAAGAACTGGCTATCTAGGAGGGATAAAAGGATGTTTAATTAAATGCATAAATCGTTTCTTCTGTGTGCAGCAGGGAGCCAGCGAGGGTAGAGCATGCAGCCTAGCGGAGAAGAATGAGAAAGGGAGGAGCTGTACGATAGCTGCTTTCTTCCTTATTTTGGTCAAGCCGTTAGTCCAGCATTTGAAGAATTCGCTGCTTTTTCCCCCCCCCCCCTTCTTTCCCTCCTCCCCCCAACCTCTTGACAATGATTTTTCCAGGCAATCTTGAGGCTTAAAACAATCGTCCTTCCTGCAACCCTATTAAAACGTGACGGGGATTTACCCGGACCTCTAGTGTTCTTGTAAACATCGTTTGCTACAGCGTACGGAGAGGATCCCATCCTGCTAACGTAGAACGACTCCCCTGAATAAAGCACCGGGCTTTGCGAGACCTGTTCCCGGGGCCTGGGGGTCCTTTTTGGCACAGAGAGAAAGCCGCCACCGAAACGATGGTTATTAATTCCTGAGACACCTTTTCCTATTTACACCGCACGCACCAGGTCTGCAGCGCGGGAAACACGGCCAGTACCTAAAAGAGCCAGAAATCTCCTGGTGAGTCTGACCTGGTTTTCTCTCCTGGGCCTGATCCAAACCTGCAAACATGCAAAACGCCAAGATGGATCCGGGTTTTTCGCTGTGAATAAAAATAAACAGAAAGGTTCGCCGGCCCCACGCCGCTTAACCAAGACGGGAGCCCAAATCGCCGCAGGCGCAAGGCGGCTGCCGGGGGTCGGCCTGCCTCCGGGCGACGGCGCGCCTTTCCCGCTGCGCCCGCGG